CCCAAGATCGCCTCAAGACGCCCCAAAAGGCCCCCAAGAAAGCTTCAACACGGCCGAGCCGGGCCCCACGATCGCCCACGAGAGCCCCAAGACAGCCCATAATGGAGCCAAGAGGCCCCCCAAGGACCCGGAAGTGCCCAAGATGGGTCCAAAGGGGGCTCCAGCGGGCCCAAGCTCCCCAAGACGGCCAAAGAAGGCCCCAGGGCGGCCCATGAAGGCGCAAAACGGCCCACGAGGGCCCCGAAAACACCCCCACGATGTTTCCGAATACCAACATAAAGACCCCCAAGGCACCCCAAAAGCATTCCAAAGGGGCCTTCAACCCACAGAAATCGTCCCATTCCCTTAGTTAAACTTACAATTTTAGCATATTCGCCTTTCGGATTTCATCAGCTTTCAAGACGGTTTCAAAGCCCCCGAGATCGCCTCCAGACGCCCCAAAAGGCCCCCAAGAAAGCTTCAAGACGGCCGAGCCGGGCCCCACGATCGCCCACGAGAGCCCCAAGACAGCCCATAATGGAACCAAGAGGCCCCCCAAGGGCTCCCAGCACAGACCCAAAAGGGCCATGGGAGGTCCCCGGAAGTGCCCAAGATGGGTCCAAAGGGGGCCCCAGCGGGCCCAAGCTCCTCAAGACGGCCCGAGGGGCCCCAGGACGGCCCATGAAGGGGCCAAAACGGCCCACGAGGGCCCCGAAAACACCCCCACGATGTTTCCGAATGTCAACATTCATTAATTTTGTTCCCATGACATTTCACATTGTGACACAGTCGTTGAGGGTCTCGTGGAATGCAGCGAAGATGTCCGAGGATGCCCCGTACGAGTTGCAGATGCATGTTCATATCCTTACACACATAATTTGATATGCACATATGTACGCTGTATACAAACACACAACTATGTAAGGTTATTGTTACAGACCTATACATTTACACGGAACGTGCATGCACGTGCTCGTGTATACATGCATGCGCGCATGTACGCACGTACGCATTTCGCTTGCGCGCAGAACTCAAAGGACCAAGGTGCATGGCGCGCAGCACCAATGCAGTCTTGTATATATATATAGGTGTGTATCTATATACATATATATATACATATATATATATATATATACATATATCTATATCCTCTCCATGTCGCACCCTGGGGCCACTTTTTAGGGAGGGCCGGGCGTTTCGCCTGAGACTTCCTCACCACTCATGACTTTGAAGCTTGAAAAGTGGCGACAGCTTTACAGATGGAGGGCGGGTCGTTTTCAAAATGTGGCTCTCGCCTTAGCGCCGCGCACATTCGTGCAAAAATGCAAGAGCTTCACGGATTCATGGCACATAGTTTTCAAAATGTGGCTCTCGCCTTAGCGCTGCGCACATCGTTTTCATTCGTGTTCGTGTTAGTAGTAGTCGGTGTATTATTGTTATTGGCCTTTTTGGATTATTTATTCGTCGCATTCCTCTTCTCCTCTTATCAATATTAATATCGATGTTATTATTATCCATGTATTACATATTACTCCTCCTCCTCCTCATCCTCCTCATCGTCATCCTCCTCCTATTCCTCCTCCTCTTCCTCCTCCTCCTTTCTCCTCCTCCTCCTCCTCCTCCGCCTCCTCCTACACCTCCCGTCCTCCTACACCTCCTCCGCCTTTCTCTTCCGCCTCCTCTTCCTCCTCCTCCTGTCTTCCTCCTCCACCGCCTCCGCAACCTCCCCAACCTCCTCCTCCTCCTCCTCAACCTCCTCTTCCTCATCCTCTTCCTCGTGTTTCTCCTCTTCCTCCTCCTCCTTCTCCTCCTCCTTCTCCTCCTCTCCCTCCTCCTCCTTATCCTCCTCCTTTTCGTCTCATCATCATCATCATCATCATCATCATCATCATCATCATCATCATCATCATCATCATCATCATCATCACCATCATCATCATCATCATCATCATCATCATCATCATCATCATCATCATCATCATCATCATCATCATCACATCATCATCATCATCATCATCATCATCATCATCATCATCATCATCATCATCATCATCATCATCATCATCATCATCATCATCATCATCATCATCATCATCATCATCATCATCATCATCATCATCATCATCATCATCATCAGCATCATCATCATCATCATCATCATCATCATCATCATCATCATCATCATCATCATCATCATCATCATCATCATCATCATCATCATCATCATCATCATCATCATCATCATCATCATCATCATCATCATCATCATCATCATCATCATCATCATCATCATCATCATCATCATCATCATCATCATCATCATCATCATCATCATCATCATCATCATCATCATCATCATCATCATCATCATCATCATCATCATCATCATCATCATCATCATCATCATCATCATCATCATCATCATCATCATCATCATCATCATATATATATGTCTATCCTCTCCCTGTCGCACCCCAGGGCCACTCTTTAGGGCGGGCCGGGTGTTTCGCCTGAGACTTCCTCACCACTCATGACTTTGAAGCTTGAAACGTGGCGACGCTTTTACAGATGGAGGGCGGGTCGCTTTCAAAATGTGGCTCTCGCCGGAGCGCCGCGCACACTCGTGTTAAAAATGCAAGAGCTTCACGGATTGATGGCGCGTAGTTTTCAAAGTGTGGCTCTCGCCTGAGCGCCGCGCACATTCCGTTAAAAAGTTAACAACAGCTTCACGGATTGAGGGCGGGTCGTTTTCAAAATGTGGTTCTCGCCGAAGCGCCGCGTACATTCGTTTTAAAAAAATCTACAAGTTTCTAGGATTGAGGGCGCATAGTTTTCAAAATGTGGCTCTCGCCCCAGCGTCGCGCACATTCGTTTAAAACATTTGCAAGAACTTCACGGATTGAGGGCGGTTCCTTTTCAATGCGGCTCTCGGCTTAGCGCCGCGCGCATTCGCTGTAAAAACTTGGAACAAGTTCACGGAATCCCATGATCAACGTACCAGACATGGTGTTTTAGACGGATTCAGGAACATGCGGGTGCAACAATTATGTTGGTTCGCGGTGTGGAAATAGCCAAACAGGGTTTCTACCACGATTCCAAATCGTCAGGACGCAACAGTCAGGTTGATCCGTGGCGTGGATTTCCCGAGAAGAATGTTCTGGTATGCTTCAAGGTCTTCAAACGGTTGTCTTCCAGCAAAACAGTTCCCTCAATGGAAATGAACCGTTGTAGGGGCCTACGCAGCGGGAGTCCGGAGGAAGGGTTAATTCAAACATCGTTGATGACTCTTGGGTTTACACTGGTCCTCCTCCTCCGCCTCCCCCTCCTCCGTCTCTTATTACTACTGTTATATTAGCATTGATAAGAGTATCATTCAGATTCCACTTACTAGTTTTATGTGCCTTACTATTAATGTTGGCATGACCAGTGTCACTAGTATTGCCATCAGTGTTGCTGTTCTTGGTGTGATGCTTATCATGAGTAAAATTGGTACTGGCATTAGCTTTGGCAAAAATTCAACCCTTCAAAACCCGTCGCTTTGGCAACGGGTTCAAAATCGAACGTCCCACAACAATTCAAAAACACATGGTTTCGCAACACACGTTCTTGCGAACTCGTAAGGCAACCGCAAATTTTCCAACATGTTCACGGAATTCTACCAAGCGGGTTTCTGGCGCCGCGTGCCGACACTATTCGCGCGCCCTTGCGCGCGTGCTGGGGGGGGGCACGATCCGTGTCAAATAATACCACGCGGGCCACTCTCGCGCGTCGGCCGCGCGCTCATGGCGAACACTTTCCAATACCTTCATCACCGACGCGAGGACGCCGTCATCGTCGTCGGCGCGATCAGCATCGGCACCCGCACTGGCCGCGCCTCCGTCGTTGCGAACGTCGCCACCAACATCGCTGCTACCACCATCGCGTCTACCGTTGTCGGCGTCGCCATGATACCGCGCCCGCCCAAGTTGCGGACACGCAGCGGAGTGCCTGCCGGGATGCGCCCGGCGGTCAACGCCACCGCGGCCGCGTGTATGGGGCCAAACTAGCTGACCGCTGCGCGCGCTATGGTCGGCGCGGCCGCAAAGATGCACCAGCCACCGCGAGGCTGCAAACCAAGTTGCGGGTGGGTGGGTGGGATGTCTGCAAGAGCATGGGACGCGTCAACTCGTTTGTCAAAATCAACTTCACCGCATAGACTGAACCAAAATTCCACCGCATAGACTGCATCACTTATTCCCTACCTAGGCTATGCCTAGAAGGGTTCTTACCGTGTTGGCTTAAAGGGTTGGGCAGTGGAAAACGCCCTGGGCGGTTCCCCCAGGATCCGCCCCGCGGTTCCCCCAGTGACGCTCCCTTAGCTTAGCGGTGTTTATCTCATCTCAGTTTAGCTTGATTCATCTTAACTTAGTTCAGCTTCATGTTTGCTCAGGTTTATCTTGGCTGAGCTTACCTTTTATCTTAGCTTCGCCGAGCTTTATCATAGCATAACACAGCAAAGCATAGCAGAGCGTAGCACAGCACAGCGCCGCACAGCATGTCATAGCAAAGCCAGGCATAGCACAGCATAGCGCAACCTAGCACAGCATAGCAGAACATAGCATAGCGCAGCGCAGCACAGCACAACATAATACCGCGCATCATAGCACAGCACAGCGCAGCACAGCGCAGCACAGCATATCATAGCAAAGCCCAGCATAGCACAGCATAGCGCAGCATAACATATCACAGCGCAGCATAGCATAGCACAGCACAGCACAGCACAGCGCAGCACAGCATAGCACAGCACAGCAGCAAAGCAAAGGCAAATCAACAGCAGCGACAGCAAAGCAACAGCAGCGACAGCACAAGCAATGCAAAGACAAGCAGATGCAGCAAGCAGCGTTGAGCTAGCAATGTTGATGTGGATGCGCATGCAGGTGTAGATGTTAATGTAGCTGTCGGTGTAGATGTAGATGCTGCTGTCCTAGATGCTTCAACTCCTAGGTAGGGTCGCACTGGGAGAATGTGTTCTTTCGAATGTTTCACCATTACCGCTCTGGACGGATCAAGCCGGCCTCGCGCATTGCAGCTAACATCTGAATGCGCCTCCTCGCTCTTTTCCCCCATGAATTCAGACCACCCATGACAGGCCGGAAGTGCCCCGCCCCCTCAAAGGTACGCTCCCACACTCGTTGATCAACAGGTCATCCGTTTCCAAAAACTTCTTAAAGCAAATGGGACGAAGTGCGCACGCGCGCGCGTCGTCGCACGCGCGCTGCGGGGCTCGCGGTTCTTGTCCTTCGAGTAGCCCTGCTCCCCCTTGCAATCGCCCTCGCCTTTGCCTCTGCCGTCCTCGCCGTTGCCTTTTCTGGCCACCCATGCCCTTGCCCTCGCCGGAGGCGTCGACCTGCGCGGGAACGGCACCGTCGCCTCCAGCACCAGGTGCAGCCCAGCGCTGCTGCGCCGAACAGATCATCTTGAGCTCGTTCTTCAGATCGCCGTGCGTCGCCAACCTGGTAGCGTTCAAGCCCAGGTGGTCTGGCAACATCTCGAATTCTATTCCCGGAATGATGGCCCCTCGCTTCATGTTGTCAGAGATCACGTCGCAACTTTGGTCCGAACGCTCCCTTACGAGCTGCTCGACCTCCGCCAAGGTTGTCACCACTGGGTCTGGGAACTCATGCCTGATGACGCGGCCCAGCGCGGCCGCGAACCACCTTGCCTCCTTCGGCGCGAACTCGCGAAGCAGGTGCCGCCCAGCAGCCAGGCCGTCTCCGCGAGGCGCCTCCCTGACCTCGACCTTCGCCGCGCCCGAAGTCACCGAGACCAAGATGCAGTAAAGCTTCGCGTTCAGCGCCTTGCCCGCGTCGCCCCGCGGAGCAACCACGTCCGCCGCGAGCGACGCTTGGTGGATCAGCCCCCCCAGTCGGGGGTGAACCACATAGGCGTGGGCCTCGAAATCGAACCACTCTGAATGCGGGCCCGCGAAGGCCCTCGGTTTGTTGAGCAGCCTCGCGTCGACCATCTGGCCTCCTGCCGCCGGCGAAGCCTGTCCAGCGCCTTGATCTCGCGCCGCGCCCCACTGCTGCTCGCCAGCGGTCGGCCGCTGCTCGGCGGCATCCAGCCGCCTCCCTGCGCCGAATCACCTCGCCCTCCGCGAGCCGCGCGCGACCCATAGGCGCCTCCATCGCCGTGGCCGCGTGACGGAAGGTTACCCGAGCGAAAAAGGCAACGCCCGCTCGGCCGCACTCCGCCACCACCCGCAGAATCGCGCCAGCCTTCTCGGATGTCTCTGGGCCCCGCAGGGCCTATCAAATCACGCTGGCCCTTCTTACCTCAGGGCGCTCGAGCCCGAACGGTTGCGGCAGGA